GGTGCTTTTAGCACAAAGCAAGTACCAATTCCGCCAGAATTGTCTATGAAGAGTTTAATGCACTGACTCATTACCGCAGGCTTGACTTCTTAAACTACAGCACACCGGTGTTGAAGAAGTGCCTCGATTCGCAGCTGACTTACTTGGTCGGGAAATCTGAAAGGTCTGTGCCTTTCTGTGGCATGCTAAAGGAACTTCAGGTGAGTGAAAATGCTAAGCGGTTTTCCAAAGCATCGTATTACTGACTGTACCTATGGGACACTGAAGTAGTAACGTGAAAGCCGATTTTTGCCGTGTGATTGGGGTTTATCACACACTCAGCTTCTGAGCCTATATGGCGTCGCCTGCCTCTCACCCGGTTAGGAGGGGCAGGCAGCGCGGGAAATAAAAAGCCTTGCCCCTGGCTTACCAGACACTAACTTACCACTGCCACCGCCGGTACACTATCCGCCAATTGTTGTCGAGCGTTCCCTGCATCACAGGATGCAAAACAATGCTGTAATTTCACCCAAATGCTGTGCGTAGCACAAAATAAAATCACATTTGATCTTTGTTGACAACCCCAAGCAAAATGGCCAGTGGTGTTCACCCGCAATGCACACTGTATACGCTCTGTGACGTGATGACAGGTGGGTGCCGCCGGCAATGTACCCTGTATACGCCGTGTAACCTGCTGACCCGGTGGCCGTCACCGGCACTGTCCTCTGTATACGTTCTGTGACGTGCCGACCGGTGGGTGTCACCGGCAATGTCCTCTGTATGCGCTCTGTGGCGTGCTGACCGATGGGTGGTCACCAGCAATGTTCCCTGTGTACGCTCTGTGAGGTGCTGATCGGCGGGTGTCACCAGCAATGTCCTCTGTATACGCTCTGTGACGTGCTGACCAGTGGGTGTCACCAGCAATGTCCTCTGTATACGCTCTGTGACGTGCTGACCAGTGGGTCTGTCACCAGCAATGTACACTGTATACGCTCTGTGACGTGCTTGCCGGCACAAGACTGCCGGCAGTTTTTTGCGGTGTAGCTATGTGAGCTTTTCGACCGTTGCGTATTGCTGACAGCGCCTACATGTGTTGCCTACCGGCCGATGCGTGCTGGTTGACAGAGTATTCGCTCTGTAGCGTGCTGGCAGGTCTTATTGTCGGCACTGTATGCACTCTGTGACGCGCTGGCGGCGCGCACTGCCGACAAGTGACGATCCCGGTGATCGAGCAGGACGGGCCCGCTCGTCATCAACCACGTGCTAGGCGGGTCCGTGCCGTACCACTTCAACATCCGGGCCACACAGATCCGCTGCGCATCGGTGCCTGACGTCAGCGAGCGTGAGTGTGCACTGACGTCGGGTGGAGAGACACCGATGGCAGAGGACTGTGCTGAACCAGCTGCCATTCCGCCGTGGAACAATGCGCCATATTGTACTGGCTGCTCAATCTGCAAGTACCTGATGAACCAAGAACTTCCATAACTGAGATATGCTTGCGAAAAATCAGTCCACGTGGCAACACACGCATGATTGTGGCAGCAAACGACTAATGAGTGTAATACTAAAGCAAAAGTTACGCTGCTTACCGGTAGAATGCATAGCTGCACGCATGCTTACCACGTAACTTTATGTGGGTTTGCCATGATGCCACTTAAGGTCACCAAGCGCACTGGAATAATTGCACGATTCGAATGAAGTGTTCCGTTTTGTCCAATCTGCCGCCGGCTCTTAGTGCCAGACTTCATATCATCAGTGTCGTAACATGCCGAGGGAAGAGAATGGGGAGCTTTTCCTCTATAATTTCTGAGTGGTCTCCATAAGGTGAGGTTTATGGTTGAGGGATTCCTTTGTTGCACTCGATTCCATCAGTTGTGCTGCAAGGGCAGCTGTCTGGCCGGTTCGTGACCAAAGGATAGTGGACAAATAAAAATGCATGTTCACCTCGTTACGTGTGGGAGCACGGTCGTCTGGAAAAAGCCGTCAGAGGTGCTGGAAAATGGCGCAAAATGTCGCTACCGTTCATGATCTTAAGGCTTCAGTGAAGTACAACAGCCGCTTGATGACCATCAGCCCGATCCGCATCTATCGTCCCGATGCTCAATTTTTACGCAGCACTCCGAAAACGACCCGGGTGTGTAGAGACCAGCCATCGCTGGATTCTATATCGCGTCGCTAGTAGAGCGACGATTGCTTGCTGTGTCCCCCCCCCCCCCCGCGGTCGGAGTGCCATTTTGGTCTCACGTATTTGACGCTTCCCTTCTAATCTCTCTTCTTCAGAGCTGCAGAGCTCAGCGTGCGGGCGCCGAAATAGAGGCATGGTGCGCCACAAACGTACTGCCATGACCAGCGTGGACGGCAACCACGCCAGACCGAGGGCTGACGAAGACCCGGTCAGGCCGGAAAACGGCGAGGACGAGCAGCAGGAGTATCTGGGCACGGACGGCTTCTCAAGCGGCGTACTGGACGTCGACACACCATGGCTCAATTTCCCATACGACTATCTCAGATCGTTCGGTGAGATAAAATCGATACTGTGATCCACGACAAAGGCACGCATGCCCAGGCGCGCACGACCCAAGCAGTCAGTACATGGGTGTAAGTGCACCTTCATGATGATTCGTGTTATATCACCGTGTCACTTTACCCTTACATTGGGCGGATAATAGGCACATTCCTACCGATAAATATCTAAGAAGCACATTCATTCCGATTCTAACTAGTCATAATGGACCAATTTGAGTTAAAAATAACGCTCACCAACGTACTAATCCCTTCCCAATCCCCTTCGCCGGGGATTGCTTGCACCAGCCGCCAGCGCAGCGTCCCCATTTACTAAGCTGGCGGTGGCATACCGCCCCAGGACCTGCGGTGACACCCAGCCCATGACACCTCCGCAGACATACAGGACAAGTTCGCGTCCGCCAGAAAAACCCTGACGCGCATCCTGGGTGGCTCGGAGACAGGCGTCAATGAGTGGCCGTGGCAGGTGGCACTGCTGAAGCGCAAGAACCTCTCCTCCCGCTCCATCGCCTTCTTCTGTGGCGGCGTGCTCATCAACGAGGAGTACGCGCTGACGGCGGCTCACTGCGTCACCGGGTCAGTACACCCTGCGTCACCGGGTCGGTACACCCTGCGTCACCGGGTCAGTACACCCTGCGTCACCGGGTCAGTACACCCTGCGTCACCGGGCCAGTACATCCTGCGTCACCGGTTCAGTACACCCTGCGTCACCGGGTCAGTAACCCTGCGTCACCGGGTCAGTACACCCTGCGTCACCGGGTCAGTACACCCTGCGTCATCGGGTCAGTACACCCTGCGTCATCGGGTCATACACCCTGCGTCATCGGGTCAGTACACCTGCGTCACCGGGTCGTACACCTGCGTCACGGGCCGTACACCCTGCGTCACCGGGTCACTACACCCTGCGTCATCGGGTCAGTACACCCTGCGTCACCGGGTCAGTACACCCTGCGTCACCGGGTCCAGTACACCCTGCGTCACCGGGTTCAGTACACCCTGCGTCACCGGGTCAGTACACCCTGCGTCACCGGTTCAGTACACCCTGCGTCACCGGGTCAGTACACCCCTGCGTCACCGGGCCAGTACACGCTGCGTCAACCGGGCCAATACACCATGCCGTCACCGGGCCAGTACACCTTGCGTCACCGGGCCAGTACACCTTGCGTCACCGGGCCAGTACACGCTGCGTCACCGGGCCAGTACACCTTGCGTCACCGGGTCAGTACACCCTGCGTCACCGGGTCAGTACACCCTGCGTCACCGGGTCAGTACACCCTGCGTCACCGGGCCAGTACACCCTGCGTCACCGGGTCGGTACACCCTGCGTCACCGGGCCAGTACACGCTGCGTCACCGGGCCAGTACACCTTGCGTCACCGGGCCAATACACTCTGCGTCACCGGGTCGGTATCACCGGCGGCGGCGCACCACGTCATTGGAAGAATAGAGCTGCCTGACGATGCCACCAACTGGATTGGGTAATCGCCAGGCCGCTGGTGGTGCGGCAGCTGACGAACTAGACCACAATATCGGTGAAGTATGGATAGACTTAGAACGAGAGGTGAAGAACGCAGGCTCAGAAGTGGAACAGCTGGAGAAGGACAATCTTATAACGGGAGGTGGATAAGGACACAGGCTTATGACGGGAACAGCTTAAGAGGGGGTGTGGCGCGCGTCAGTTATTCAAGAACTGTCAGAGTGTCAACTGGCCAGACCAGATTAGTGTACGCTTGATAGCGCCAGATAGGTTTTCTGCCGTGTGAGCCCCTCCTCGCCAATGACTCACTGCTCCCATCGACAGTTTAAGAGCTTCAATTTCACGGAGGTCCGGAGACACATCATCGTGAGCGTCGGCGATCACGACCTTCGGAGGCTGAACGACACGAAGGCCGCCTTCCGGGGGGTGCGTGACGTTATAGTGCACCACATGTGGGACAAGACGCGCAACGTCAACGACATCGCTCTCATCCGCCTCAGCAAAACCGGTCACCTTCTCGGGCTCCATCGCGCCGGCCTGCATGCCTACCGACAATCGGTGAGCGCAGCCCACGCCCGCGGCCGGGGGCAGACAGCCACCCAGCGCTGTCCTCTGTCAGGGGGAGTGCAGTCGGAGGGCCGATCGCGCCGCTACAAGCGTGGACGTACATATGGTGCAATTCGACCAGTACCCAAGCTACCGGTTCATTCAAAGTTTCAAGGAGTGCCCGTATGATGTTCTAAAACTCTAACACGCTACACATCTGTAACGTTACGTGACGACAAAGCACCTTTGTACGCCATACATCTTGAATCGCTATGCTCCGACACCAGTTGTTAATGGGGGACTGCAGTTGCATTTTGTGGCCAGACCACAGCCACTTAAGTTTCACCCAAATGCTGCACAATATGCTCGATGTGTCCGTCCTGTGGGCCAGGCTGCCAAACGTCCACTGGCAATCGCGGTTTCTGAATGCCAAACGCAGACTACGCGTGGACCCCCCCCCCCCCCCCCCCCCCTCTTCCCGGCTGTCCGTTCTGACACGGCCTGACGCGGTCAGGACGATGACTGACGAGGAAGTCACGATCACCGGCTGGGGCGTGATCTCCTTCAACCGCACGGCCGGTCCGGTGTCGCCCGTCCTCAAGGGAGTCACACTCAGCCCGGTCGCGCTGGGGCCGTGCAACGAGCTCTGGAAGAAGTACGATAACCCACGCACCATCTACCCAGAGTTTGTACCCATTGACGAGAAGAAAGTGTGCATCGGCACCAAACCCGGCGCTGCTTGTTTCGTGAGTACATACAGCAGGTGGGGAGGGGCCGGGGGCGGCCGTCGGTCCTGGTCAGGGCGGTCAGATGTGTGTGCGAGAAACACCTGGAGCTAAGGTGAAGACGGTATTTGAGTACACAAATATGAGCCGTGGTGTCACTGACGTTAGTGGTTAGTGGAACGAGCGGGAGAAGCTAGCCGTTTTTTGCCAAAGGAGATTCAGGGAGCGGCATTGTTTGCGCGAGAGCTGTGCATGTTCGCCCCAGTAGTTGGTGCAGTGCGTGTTTTCACATGAGCGTGATATGTCACGGGGCCTGCACACAAAAATCACGACCCTAGCAAAAGCCAATCCAACGTGCTGGTGCTTCACGGTCCATTCATGACCTCCATGATTGCCCCATGAGCGGCCACTGAGGCGAAGGTGCTGCCACCAGGGCGACAGCGGCGGCCCGGCCACCTACCGCGAGGAGGACGGCCGCTACACGCTGCTGGGGGTGACCAGCTATGGACCCCCCATCTGCAAGATCGGCGGCTTGCCCACCATCTACACCCGGATCTCGCGCTACATGTACTGGATCCAGCTGAACATTCTGCACCTGTTCGCCAGCGCCAGATGAGCCGGAGCGCGCGCGGCTGATGCCAGCCAGCCGCCCGGAGGAGGATCGCAGGGCCTGGAGCGGTGCGGCGCGATAGACACGGTGCGGCTGACTGTGTCCAGTGAAAAGACAGGCCGCATTGTTGCGAGCATGGGGGTCATCAAACGAGTTCCATTCTCTCGTCAGTGTCATGCATCAGATTGACTTTGGCTGCCGCCGACAGTATGCTGCATGAAATATGAGCCACTGAAATGCATGAAATACGAGCTATTTGAATAAGTTCAACAAACCAGCCATGACGATGTTGGGAGCGAAAGTCTGAGAAATCAGGCAAATATGTACCCAGAAGTAAGTTAACGATTAGATTTTGGTGACTCTCAGGGGCGTAGCAAGGATTTTCTCAAGGAAACACGCCACACCCACTTCTAACTTGCTTTCAACAGCCATCTATATAGACAAAAATGCGAGCGTAAGGGGAAAGGGGGGGGGGGGGGGCGGTACTTTTGCCCATTTGGCTGGGAGCCTTGTCAATCAATTGTGATAATTTTGAAAAGGGGTCAATATTCTTGGCGTCTTTTGTTTTATTTGTATATTCAACAGTTCAAAAGCCGCAGGTACCATATGCATTATGAATGCCTCATCTGAAGGATTTGGTGTCGATCGTCGGCCCCAGCCCTCCCCACCAGACCCCACGCCTTGAATTGGTCTATGCCGAGCTAAGCTGGAAATGTAAGGCTGGCTGCTGCTTTGTTGTATAGCTCCAACGCATTCTTCAGATGTTGTGCGACTTCAAACGTCCTGCGATGTTGGCGCGCTCGAGACATGTCTGCAATGCTGGCGGTGAACGTGTTGTGAATATCAGGGATACAATTTGCGATGAAGCGACTACCTGCGAACTTTACTGCACGGGTTATGCCAACTCAAGACTTTGTAAACGGGGTATATGACAACGGAAATACATTTCCCCTGCTGTTATGCTGGCAATACTTCCCAGGGTCATTGTTTCGAGGGAGATTTCTGTCCAGTGCTCGGATGAAATCAAGCCATCGTATCCGACGTAGGCAGCGACAGCGAACTACTGCCGGTGCGTAACCAATGCTTCGAATCATGCACGTTGTTCGATAGCATTTGCATGCGGTCACAGACAGGGAGGCGGTACCGTTTTGTGGCCGGCTGCCCCATCCGACTAAGATGAACTACGCGCACGACGCTGCAGTTGATTAATTGGGGTTATTTGTCAACCAAACGGCGATAATCCCGGTAATAGTTGCTCGCGCCGTTTGATTACTTGAGATATGAAGTGCTGGGTGTTGGCCAGTGCTGCGCTCTGTGCTAGTTGACCCGGGCCGTGACCGAGGGCTGAGTTGACCCGGGCCGTGACCGAGGGCTGGCGGGGGGTCTTTGGTCAGGCCTCGCTGCGAGGGGGTATTAATGTATCGTTCCTTGCGAGCCGGCGCGTTCCTGCTACGAGAGCTGCCCATCGGAAGGAGCGAAGACGGAACATTGAGAGGGACGGGGAACCAGTTGGGCGGGGGACGGACAATTTAAATGCAGGTTCTTGTTAGCTCTCTGGTGGAGCTCGGCTGAAAAGGCTCAAAACATTTAAAAGCCGTCCAGGCCGTCCCGCCAACTTTTGGCGTTCAGGATTATTGACACATTTTTTGTACCTTCTAAAGATTCATGTGCACTTCCATAAAGTTCCAGATAAGATTCGAAATGTTGCGAACACAAGCAATCAGCTACGGAAACCAGCTCGTCGTATACAAAAGCTTTGCGCTGATGCTACCGAAGACGTTGCAGGTACGTCCGCCACATGCGAACTCTGGATTGACTGTGGGAGGCGGTGGTCAGTCATACAATGGGGATGTGCAGAAAAAGCTTTGATTTTGCAACTAGCCATCACTCAACGCTGGGGGTACGACCAGAAATGCAGGACCAGGCGACCCCATTTCGCACGGGCTTGGAGCACGCGATGAAAGGTAGGGGTGGTTCTATGAGTGCGGATGTGCTTGGAGAGGAGCGGAGTAGTGCATGCAAGATTTTGTGGGGGAAATCCGTTTTATGCTGAAGACCTGCGGACCATGTTAAATATTGGTTAGTTGTTCACAATTTTGCAGCCTAAATGACAACATTTGAACATCATGTTCTAGGTCCAAAGAGGTACTGCAAGATGAAAACGTAGCTGTCTTTCCCACCATCTAGCCTATAATTTTGGATTATGTCTTAGTTCGTATTTTTTTGTGAATTTGTGGTACCACATTTGTTAGCGAGTTTAAAAGGAAGTGTTCCAAGATGGTATGAGGTTTTAAACTGAAATAGCCACCTTGAAGATCATTCGGTGTGGTTTGCAGACCTGCGCTTCTTAAGACTTAAACCCCCTCTAGTTTCTGAGCTGCATGCCCGCGAAAAGGTGAAGATTTTTTTTTTTTGGGGGGGGGGAGGGCTATCTCGAAGTCACTCAGGCATCTATGAGGCCATGATAACGCCCTTCAAATCCTATCATTCTACTAGCCATTCGGCGATCTGGCGTTCGCAAGCACGATTTTCAGACATAACGGCCGTCAACTGGCTCTCAATCAATGTTGTGCAAGGTGTGATGACAATCAAACAATTATGCATTGAGAAGCACGTTACTTAGCAATGAAAATGTGCTGTCTGGAGCAGCCTTTTCCGCTCAAAACTATACCGATAGTTATAAGTAAGCTTATTTCATTACCTTTGATGCTTAATTGAATATATTCAAATGTGGAACATTCCCTTTTAAAGGGAACTAAATAAAACGGAAATTAAAGTGCTATTTCAGTTCATAACCCCATGCAAATGTGAAACACTCCCTTTGAACAACGATGCCGAAATGCGAGGTCCGCACGCACTGGATGCCTTGCCGATTAAATACACCATGCCAGTGAGAATGGTCAGGCGTACGTTCATAAATTGCACGAGGCTCACAAGGTTCTTGATGGTGTGCAAGCCAAGCTTACCACGAAGGGATTTGAACAACGCAACGTCACACTCAAGTGTGGTTTCAAATCGTGCTGAAACCCTTTTTCAGATGTTTTGACATGGTAACCAAGATGAGGGGGCGTCTCATCCACCGTAAGCAGTGCGTGACCAATGAGGGGAGGGGGTTCGGAAATGGTCGCATCTGCGTAAACGTGGTTTATGGACGGCCCCCTGTCTTGGCCGGCGCGCCACTACAGCCCACATTGGGCCGGCGTTCAGCTCAGCCTCAGCCTGCGGTCAGTCAGGGGTCGGGCACCAGGCGGACGTGGAGACGCGTCTCCCACAAGTTTCAGAAGATGGGGATTTCAGATATGTGTGTGAATGTGTGTGTGTGTGTGTGTGTGTGTGTGTGTGGTGTGTGGGTGTGTGTGTGTGTGTGTGTGTGTGTGTGTGTGTGTGTGTGTGTGTGTGTGTGTGGTGTGTGTGTGTGTGTGTGTGTGTGTGTGTGTGTGTGTGTGTGGTGTGTGTGTGGTGTGTGTGTGTGTGTGTGTGTGTGTGTGTGTGTGTGTGTGTGTGTGTGTGTGTGTGTGTGTGTGTGTAATATTCATTACACAGCTACGGCTGTGTTTGTAACATTAGCCTCGGATCGCCAAGAGAGATTAAAATGAGGAACTTCAGACTACGGGCTGGCCCAGACAACCGTAACAAACATACCCCACAACCTGTCGCTCACGCGTGCGGCCCCTGCAAACCAATAAAACGACACGCGTGACTCATCTTGACGTGTTGAACGCAACAGTATTCTTTTACACGCATGAGCAGCTTTGGTTTTCAGTGTCACTGTTGAATAACCAAGGTGGGATTCCAGAACAAATGATGAATAGCATCGTATTATATGCAAAAAAAAAATCACATTGACTCATGCTGTGTTTAAATACGCCCTGGCAAGCCTTCCATGAAAGAGACTTTACAAGCTAGGATAGATATGTTCAATTTTACATGATCAGACCGCGGCCAGCACATACAAGCAGTCACAAATAACTTGCTTAAGTGATGTATGGACTTGTGTCTTTAGTTGTATATTATATATATATATATATATATATATATATATATATATATATATATATATATATATATATTAGCAAGTGTATTTCGATGTCCTGGCCACCACGTTATGTTCAAACGCGGGGGGGGGGATGCATCAGTCAGCCTTCCAGTGGCGTCAGTTAATGGGGCTGTATCTCGATGACCTGGCCACCACGTTGTGTTCAAACGCGTGGGGGATGCATCAGCCAGCCTTCCAGTGGCGTCAGTTCAATGGGACTCTATCTCGATGACCTGGCCACCACGTTATGTTCAAACGCGTGGGGGATGCATCAGCCAGCCTTCCAGTGGCGTCAGTTCAATGGGACTCTATCTCGATGACCTGGCCACCACGTTATGTTCAAACGCGTGGGGGATGCATCAGCCAGCCTTCTAGTGGCGTCAGTTCAATGGGACTGTATCTCGATGACCTGGCCACCACGTTATGTTCAAACGCGGGGGGATGCATCAGCCATCCTTCCATTGGCGTCAGTTTAATATCCACAACAGATTTCGAAGTGCACACTAAATGAAACGCGAGAGTTCTTCCAACAATTCGTGGTAGCCAGCAAGTCATATGCTGCAAGCAATCAATGCTCCTCCGTCGCGGCACCTACCCTGCATGCGTGGAGGCCACCACCAGCGCTCCGTCTGTCTAACGCGATGCTGCTCCCCTTCGACAGCACAACAGAAGCGTGACGTCAGTGAGCTGGTGCCGATTACGCACCATGGAACTTAGCACAGTATTGTGCCTTCATCGCTGCTGAAAAACGTCATACTGCGCGTGAATTGACGGTGAGCACTCAGCACCCGGGGAACGGCCCACGAAAAAAGGAGCACGTTCATTGGTCACGCTACCTGGTGGAGACTACCAGAGGTAGCACCACCTGGCAGACCAACAGAGGTGGCGCCACATATCCCAACTACATATATGCCCATATCCCAACGTATCCCAACATAACTGTTTCACACATGTCGGAGGTCTGCGACGCAAATCCATCTATTTCCTGGCACAAATTGATAACCGCAAGCAATCCCGCATACTTTCCGCTCTGTAAAATTCGGAAGGCCTCAGACACGGCAAGGCCCTAGCGACACCAGTGCCAGTCCAGAGAACAAGATTTGATAGCCGATGACATCCACCATATATATTGATTGATTGACATACACTTGGGCAATCTCGAATCAGCTCCGGGCTATTACAGCCATCTTCAAGAGACAAACGGATGGCTAAAAGGTATAGGAGCAAAGACAGACATCCCAAAGCGAACGCGCCGAAATTCATGCAAATGCGCACAAGTCACGGCTTCACCGCACAAACAGGTCATGACATCTTCAAATGCCCCACGAGATGTCCCTTCAAACGCTTTAGAGGATATAGGGCACGTAGGTAGGGCGTAAGCGACCCATCGCTTAATGATGCATAGGGGAGGGCCCTAC